GCAATCCCATTTCCTTCTGCTAAACGACTACCACGCAAACAGCTCCAAAGCCACTGTCAGTTTCATCTCTGCTGGAACACATTTGCCCGCTTTAGGCCTTCTAGTCTGATCAGAGCACTTGTAGCAAAGTGGGAATTTCAGATTTGCCTTCAATACTCAGAGAAATAATAATATGATAGAAAAAGAGCCACAAAACAACTCTTGTATCCTTGTGCTGCGAGGAGTGAATAATTCATGCACCTATTTTGGAAGCTGAAGCCTTCTCTTGTATTTGATCCCAGACTGGATGCAGAAGGGAGAAACATTTTGCCTGCAAGTAATTCACACATACGAGGACTGGTGAGTGCTGTCCCACTGAGACCACCTCAAGCAGTTCTCTATGAAAAGGTTCCAGAATTTCCCCCCCTTCCCTTCAAAGTCTTTTCAGACAGGTTTGTTATGCTGTCACTACAGACCTTAATAATCTCTTTCACACCCAATCATCAGCCCTGGTTTCTACAGAAAGAAGAGTGTCAGTTGTTCCAACTGGCTTGATCACAAATCTGGCTCTTGGCATGAGGAAAATGGCTTTCCTAAAGTCATTCTTGATATCCCAGCCCTTTATTTTACCACACGGAAAAGGTAGCAGTTCTTCACTAGAATTACACGCATCTGTTTTGGAAGCTGAAGCTTGGACAAAATAATGTTTGGCCTCAAGCAGGGTATGAATAGAATCATACAATCATGAGGCAGCAACTTTGTGGAAACTCAGCAGGTGTGGTTATGGTCAGTGCCAGGATGGCAGACGGTCTGGGAGCCCTATGTATCCTGCCTTGAGTTTCATAAATACCCTCTAGGAGAAAAAAAGTATTGCTGGGAAGGGCTGTAGAAGTTGGATTTTTAGGCTTAAGCCTGATAGATATGAATCTATATCCAAATTCAAGAGCAGCTCAGCTGTTAAGATCGGAAACAGCTGAGTTGTGGGGGCAGTCTGCTTCTACAGCACAGCTGTTTAAAGGGGCTTTCTTGGCCCTTTAAACAGCTGAGCCACGCTGTTTGGTCCATATGACTCTTTGGTCCATATGGCTCAGCTGTTTCTGAACTAAACAGCTGAGCCAGTGGGGCAGCCTGCTCCTGTGACTCAGTTGTTTAGATCGGAAACAGCTGAGACGCGGGGGCAGCCTGCTTCCATAGCTCAGATGTTTAGAGCCTGAAACAACTGAGTCACAGGCGCAGGCTGCCCCCATGGCTCAACAGTATTGGCACGAACCCAGTTCAGTTCATATGCAAGCCGACTGGGTTCGTGGGGTTCATGGTTCAGTTTGTGGTTCACCCATGAACTATGAACCAAACCACATTTTTGTGGTTCATGCCCATCCCTAGCAAATAGACCTCATTCTACAGATTTGTTTCCAGTGACAATATTAAAATAATAGAATTAAACGTACACTTTTGAAAATGACTGCTCCTATGATCTTATGCCAACTTAGGCAGTAAATAACAATAAACAGGATCAATTAGTTCATACTCAAATAAATAACTTTAAAATCAGAAACAATCAGAGACCTCTATGCAAAAAGAAAGAATCATTACGAATTATGTATCACCAACATCTGTTTTGTAAGCATGCACGTACACATAAAGTCATCATTTAAAACTACGTATTTATATATATATACTATTATAATCACATACTTGAGCTAATGTAAATGCATTTGTACAAAAATGATTTGTTAATTGCAAAACTACATTCTAAATGAACTATCATAGTGATTCAGTCAAAACATTATTAACACACAAGCCGCATTCAGATGGGGAACACGGTGTTACAATCAGCTTCAAATGCCTGGAAAGCTTCTCATAGAAGCATCTGTCCACACAGTCAGAGAAGTGTCAATTATATTATTTATTTTATATATTTCAACCCTGTTTAATTGCTTTCTTCCTCAGTTGGATGGCATAAATACTTACTAGCATACCTCACACTTGCAATTTCAAACCTGCATCAGCGAACAGTGACAAGTTCAGATCAATGGTTTCCACCTCTTTGCATTTCCAAACAAGACTCTCTGGGGTACCTAACCTCCTAGTGGACCCTGGAAGTCTCTAGGGAACCACTGCATCCGGCTGACAACTGATATCACTTGCCCTACATACACACACGACCTCAAGATACAGCCTCAATGGTTTACCATACCAGGGCAAAAAAGACAGCTCTCACCAAGCAAACACACTGATGCTAAATGCTGAAAGGCCACAGCCAGGACACTCACCTGGAGCCTCTTTCTAGAGCTTGTTGTATTTCTTCACACAATGTACCCTACTCCCAGTATATTATAAGTGGTTGCACACCTGGATTGTTCATGTATGAATTGGACCTCTGTATAAACTCTTTTGCACACTTGAAAGAAACTGCACATAACTAAAGGTAGAGGGGCTTACGTCATTTTTGGATACATCTTGGCTCATGAATGTGGCCTGTTTGTAGCAGAGTAACATGTGTCCTGGGAGCTCAACAGATTTCAGAGATAGAATTTTCACACTGCAGGACCTTTTATGGATGAAGTGGTAGGTGGGCTGACACATCAGGAACATGTCTAGGGCTGGGGCAGATCTACAATGAAACCAATGAATCTTAAACTTCAGGGTCCCTAATCCTGGAGGAGCCCTGAAGCAACTTTTTTAATGAGTATTTTAATGAGTATTAAAATAAGGCTATTTTAGTGACAGAATAATAAGCCAATGGGTTGAAGTACCTAATATTAACCTTAGAATATGCTCTAATACCCATTTCACATGGTCAAATTTCAGAATTTTCTCGGGGGCTTGCAACATCCGAACCCCCAGCTCTATGGACTTGCTGAACTCGTCAGAATCTATTCATACCCTACATTTTGGCATCTGGATCCTCAAATCCTTCATTGGTGCATGGCTTAATAGTTCTACAGCTCAGCCCTTAGCTAATCAGAACCATAAAAAGACATCTGAATTCTCAATTCAGGCCCTTTGGACCTTGTTGGAAGTTGCCCTATTGTTGCTGGTTGAGAAGGGCCCCCCATAACAGTTCAAACTTCATGGTTCCAAAAATGTAGGTCTAGGAATGGGCACAAACTGGTCTAGGGATGGGCACAAACCACATTTTTATGGTTCTGTTTATGGCTGCACCACAAACCCATATGAACTAGGAGGTTGGTTCATGAACCGAACCGGTTTGTATGGGTTTGTGAAGAAGAAAAAGAAGAGAAGGAGGAGGAGGAGATTGGATTTATATCCTGCCCTTCACTACCTGAAGGAGTTTTAGAATGGCTTACAATCTCCTTTCCCTTCCTCTCCCCACAACAGACACCCTGTGAGGTAGGTGGGGCTGAGAGAGCTCTTTCGAGAACTGCTCTTTCAAGAACAGCTCTGAAAGACCTTGTAACAGACCCAAGGTCACACCAGCAGCTGCATGTGGAGGAGTGGGGAATCAAACCTGGTTCTCTCAGATTAAAGTCGATGCTTCTAACCACTATACCAAACTGGCTCTTGCTTTCTGTTCCTTGAGAAAAGCTGTTTGGTTTAAATGGCTCTGCTCAGCTGTTTGGTTTAAATTGCTTAGAGCTGAACCCAAAAAAGCCCTTGTAAACAGCTGAGCCACACAGATAAAACGGCTCTGTATGGCTTAGCTGTTTAAATGAGCTTTTTTGGGCATCTAGTCTCTGTGGCTGGCTGCCAAAAAAAGCCCCTTTAAACAGCTGAGCCAAGCTGAACAGTTTGTTCTGCATGGCTCAGCTGTTTAAAGGGGCTTTCTTTGGCAGAGAGCAGTGTTCCCTCTAAGCTGAGTTAGTGTGAGCTAGATCAGTTTTTTAGCCTGTGGCTCACACGTTTTTGTCTTTGCTCAGGAAGGATGGCTCCTGAGCTAACTAATTCATGCAGTAGCCAAATCTCTTGCTCACAACTTTAATGTCAGTAGCTCACAAAGCAGAAGTTTTGCTCACAAGACTCCACAGCTTAGAGGGAGCATTTGCAGAGAGCCCCGGGGACCGGCTGCCCAAGAAAGTCCTTTCAAACAGCTGAGCACAGGAACAGTTTAAAGGGGCTGCCCGCCCAAGAAAGCCCCTTTAAACAGCTGAGCCACCCAAGCAGGCTCAGCTGTTGAGAGGCCGAAACAGCTGAGTCGTGGGAGCAGGCAGCCCCCATGCTCAGCTGTTTCTGATGTAAACAGGTTGTGAACCATGAACCAGAAAAAAATTAATCAACAACAAAGGTTTGTGAGCAGGTTTGTGCCCAAGCCTAGACATGTCAGGACCACATGGGCTTCAATTCTATTCAGTTCCTTCAGACCTCCTCCTCATGGGCTTAGATCCAGCAGAGCATTTCTGTGAGTGGAACAATTTCTCACCTCTTTCTCACCTCTCCCTCCTGCTGCAGCCCAAAATGTCCTTCAAAATTCCAGGAGTAGCATTTTGGGGCATTTTGGGTTGCAGAAGGGAATGGAGGTGGGACAGTCATGCTGCAAGGGTGGAAATCCCTCTGCCCATGGAAATGCTCTGCAGGATACAAACAGAGAACTGGAAGTGGATCTCAACATACCTTGGAAATGTTTTCACTGATCTTGCAGAAGTTCTCCTTGGATAAACTGTGAAAAACTGAGTCACAAATAGGTACACATACATAAGAAAATACAGGAAAAAGCAAGAAAACGTATGTCCTGATCTTGTACAAATCAACTGTCAGTAAGACAATTTTTATTCATATGAATGCCAGGAACATAAGCAGCAATTGCTGGAACCAAAGGCTGTTGAATATGCTGTCCCAAGGTGGTTTACGTGATTCCAATGCTTCTCTCAAGGCCTATGGAGTTTCAAAGAGTCCTGCAGGGACAGATTTCTTTTTTAAATTCAGAAACAATATAAATGTATTCCTCTACCCATCGTTTTTTCAAGATCACTTCTGTTTCTTTCCATTACACAACTGATTAATCATTACACACTCGATTGTATCACTCGATCATCCTGTATAGCCCCTTGTGGTTTCCCTACCTTAATGGTCGGAGAGTTCGCAGCAGCCTCAAGACTCTTAGCATTCCAAGAATTTTTGTGCCGCTGTCAGAAACCATTGAAACCAGGATGTCAATAATGGAGATGAGAACCAGCACTCCATCCAGCATATTCCAACTGCTTCTCAGGTATGCCTTTTCACCAAAGCACAAGCCTAGTGCCACCACCTGCCAAGATGCCAAATTACACACAAAAAAAGAGGCGAATACGCTGGGTACCTGTTTTTATTGCATCATTTACAGATACGTGACTACAAATGCATTGGCCTCCCAGTTATAGCAACAGAACTATGCCAACCTTGTAATATGTTATACTGAAGGATCATAAAAATAACTCTGCTGAAACATCCCAGATTGTCCCGTTAACAGCTGATGTATTTTTAATGCAGCTAAACAATAATTGTGCAAAAGTGTCTGCAATAAAGTACACTGCATAAAAGGATGGCACACATGATTATTTTTATAGTTGACTGGAGACAGGAGATGCTGACCATATGTTAGCTCTGGCCACAAGGCTTGCAAATAAATTGCAGGTGAACCAGGAAGCCACAAGAACCAAGACAGAATGAAGTCTCTGAGATGACATTAACTACACAAAATAGGATGTTGAAATTATTTTTCAGCTTGCAGAGGGATGATCCTTCCACCAGGTCTTCAGTGAATATGACAATTTCAGCTAAACATGCACCCCCTTGACATCTTAAGCAAACAGGTTTGCATAGGAAGGGTACACAGCAGACATCAGTTGAGATCCTGAATCCTCACAGAAGTCATTTAATCCTCATAAGCTTGCATAAGATGGGAAAGCTGCTGCAGAAACCCTCCATTTAGCTAATCAAAAGGTCAAAGGTGAATTTACTGAATGATAAGACCTATCCCATTTCGCATGATCTATAAGCATGTGAAGAACATCGTAAAAAAGGAGAATAAGAGAAGACAAGGACATAAAAGGTCTTACAACCAAGGGCTTTACCTACAAGTACAGAGCATTTGCAGACGATGTAATGTTTTTGGTTGAAGAACCGATAAAGAACTTACCGTTGCTAATGGAAAAAATCAAAGAATTTGGTGACTTGGCAGGATTCTATGTTAACAAGAATAAATCAAAGGTGATGTGTAAAAATATGATGAGAGATAAAAAACAAGAACTGCAAGAGTTAATACAATGTGAAGTAGTTAAGTAAATATTTAGGTATTGAATTGACAATGAAGAATATAGATCTTTTTAAGAACAATTACGAAAAGCTGTGGGGCCAAATACAACAGGATATGAAGAAATGGGACACTTTAAATTTGTCACTATTGGGAAGAATATCGGTGGTCAAAATGAACGTTTTGCCTCGTTTGATGTTTTTATTTCAGACCATTCCGATAGTGAAAGAGACTAAGACTTTGAACTCGTGGCAGAAAGAAATATCTAAATTTGTCTGGGCCGGGAAGAAGCCAAGGATTAAAATGAAGATCCTATGCGATGCAAAAGAAAGAGGTGGATTTCAATTACCTAATATCAGACTTTACCATGATGTGGTGTGCCTAACCTGGCTAGAGCAATGGGTTAACTTGGACAATAAGAAACTGCTGGCACTTGAAGGGCATGATTGTAAGTTCGGATGGCATGCCTATTTGTGGAATGGGAAAACAAAAATGGACAAGCTTTTTAAACATCATTATATAAGAAGATCATTGTTTGAGATGTGGTCAAGGTACAAAAGATTTTTTTTTTTAAGAAAGACCACTATGGATAGTTTCAGCAGAAGTAATTAAACCATATTCGAGACATAAAGGTGAAGATTGGATACCGTATAGGGACATTTTTAAAATAGAAGGGAAAAGTTATGAGATAAAAAGTAGAGAAGAAATAGACTTTGAATATGATTGGCTAAATTATAGACAAATTTATGACTTATTCAAATCTGATAAAAGAGAGTTTGGGTTTAGGATAAAATACAATGAAATGGAAGGTGTGTGGGTGGAAAAAGGTAAAAAAATGATAGCTAAACTTTATAAGGTACTATTAAAG